GCAGTAGTCGACTCTAGGAATAGATGGTACTTTGTGCTGTCTTATTTTGAATTGTTACATATACATAATTAGATGCTTTCAGCCTTGCCCGTAATTGAATGATGCTATTATCAACAGACGCGTCGCGTATCGATCTCACAGTTACGCAACGAACGTATACCTGTGCGCACAAAACCCTGTGTGTTGGTCTGACGTCTAACCGCTGGCCGACTGGGTGGCATCCCAACTAACATTATCAGAGTTGCAAGAATGATTATACAGTATTCCTTACACAGCATTGTATGCTGTAAGAACATTGTCAAAACCCTCTTAGAACAGCTATACAAGCGGAATGGGCGCACCCAATACGACACGTCAGTCATTTAAGAGGTTGTATAAGGGCTGCAGGTAACAAATATACAACAAAAGTGTAAGCCCCTTGCAGCCGCTATAGGACATTTGCGTCAGTACAAGATTCAGTTTTTGTCAACTATACAACTATTCTGTTATGTGATTCTACTTTATTGCAACCAAACTATTTCTTATGTATTGCATCGACGAAGTGAAGAATATATAACTAACACATTACAGTCATCTTGTTTACTTACATATCGGCAATTGTGAATTTCATACACAGGTATATGATAAACTTCTACACTGTGATACAGGGCTATTGAATTACTTGCGCAGCAAATTTTATTGTGATTATCGTGCAAAGTAGTTACGCAATTTCTACGGGCTTCTTATTTGATGCATATTTCGATAATGATCAAAAGTATGTTTAGATTTTTAAGATGGAAAACTGAACCTACCTGCGTCAAATCTTCCACAAATCCTATATTTAGACACAATTACACTAATGTTTATCACTTTATATCTATAATTTCGAACTGAAACATAATTATTTAATATTAAATAGAGGAATAAATGTTTGCCCAATATGGCTGGTTGCTGTGTATACATATAATCATGGCATCGTCCATGTTGTCTTCAGTTTACTAGAATATTTTGGTGTTGCCTGCAGGTATTATACAACAATTTGACAGATGTCTGAAATGAAATACCGACAGAGTCGAATGATTTACCCAGAATTTGTACCAGATCTATACCTTCTGTTTGAACAGTTGATGAAACCTTTTGAACCAATATGCATGCGTTGTTTGTCTTAAATCATTGGTTATGGCATTTTAAGAAAAATATGACAACAGAAAGTTAGGTTACGGTGAAGTTGTATACCAACATATTTAGCATATGTACAGCCTTTAACAGTTACTAAACAACAGTTGTATAAGTGCTTCCGTTGGGAGCAACTTGTTGGCTAAAGTAGTAATACGCACAGCAAAACAACAAGGCTCGGGTTTGTTTTATAAACGTTACCATGGATGCCACAACACAATCATTTTGACTAACGTGCAAATATGCCGTATAAAATAGTCGTATAAACGTTTATGCAACAGTAAAAAATTTGTCCTATAAGGTGTTGTATAACTATGCTAAAGAATATCTTAAACGCCTCATTTTAGAGCAAATATGTTGCAGAAAGCAAATTTGCATTCCACACAACATTAAGCCATCATTTTGGTGTTCAGGCAACAACAATAGAGAGCTTTTATGGCTGAACGGTTCTTTTACCAAAAGCTTATAGCACTACTTTGCTAGTTGGGCAATGTTGCCGGATGTTGGGTACTGTCGGTAGGGCAGGGAAAAATGTCTAGATCACAGTATTTCCAATTGGGTGTAGGCGAAGGAGTAATTACATCTTTTGGTATGCATGTTCGTAGCAGATTTTTTTTGCGAGACATAATCCTTTATGAACTGATTGCGTAGGAAGACGCTATTTTTCCATGTATTATTTTTAACTCAGGAAACAATTTGTGGGTTGAGGAGGTCTAGAGGTGAAAAATAGCAATTTCTGAATAATACGAAATATTAATACTAAAAAATAATTATCAGTCGGTCCAATATGAAGGGTACATGCAAAAGGGAATGTCACAATTTACAATTTTTTCATTTCTCATTCTCATTATTGTATTTGCTATTTCAATTTAAAATCATTAGCCTTTAAAATAAGTAAACAGATAACGCCAAAAAGACATTTTTGCTTATGAACGAAACGAAAAGTACTGGGAATGTCCATGTCATACCGGCAAAGAAGAAGGATTGTCCAAAATGACAGTTGTAATTTTGAGATTAGAATTTATTTAAATTTTGCGGTATAATAATTTGAAGTTGAAAGTGTTTTCTGATCCAGATAATGATGAGAATGATCAGAGTATCATTAACAAATCAACAAAGAAAGGAAAGAAAACTGGTGGAATCGAAGCTGTAATGGAAAGTTGCGACTTTCTTCTCGTGAACAAGGGGAACCGCGTAATTGTTCAACGTTCAAGAGTTTATGAATATGGATGGAAATAATTAAAGAAATATTATTAAATATTTCAATTCATTTTGTAGTGTCAATGAACAGAACTTAGATTTGTCAGGGCTTATAAATGTTTATAATGGGAAACGAAGAACAAGGAGGATGTTTGAAGATGAGACTAATTTTCATACAGCTACATTCAGCTATAAAGTGAGGGTAAAAGATGAGGCTATCAACAAAAATGTTATCAAAGATGTGCCTGTATGCTTAGCATTCATTGCATTTCCTGGAATTATCAAAGAAAATGTTCAATATCTACAAAAAAGCATAAAAACGACATATAAAGCTCCAGTAGATCAAAGAGAAAAGCATGAAGATCGTAAAAATTTGTATAGATTAAATATTTTACTCATATTAACTCATTTAAAGAAAGATTGAGTCATCACAGTTTAAAAGACAGCATTAAACTGAAATATGATTCAAAAACCAAAGAATCTGATAACTGAATTGGATACTCCTCGTTTTTTACTTTTTTCAAAATTTTTCATTTGGTTTTTGTTCAATTTAATTACGTTTAATAATTTAAAGGTCCAATGTCAACAACAAAAATATATTAGATATAAAACATTTAATTAGTTCTAAGTAAAGTTTACCGCATACTTTGATCTTAGAAAAAATAATATACTCTCAAACTGTATCAAAATCAGTTCATTAGGACATTCCCTGTTATTTGCGTGTACTCTTCATATAGTCTATATCCCAAACAAGTAAGTAGGTTCAAGAGTGCATTTTAAAGTATATATTTATTTAAATTGAAGTTAAAGCATAAAGTCATTGTTTTTAAATGCATGTAATGGCTTAAAAATCCCATTATTGAGTTAAATTACCGTAGGGTACGGCTACGGATCCACCTAAGCATGTGTCACGGTTAGTTTAAGCCGGCAAGCCACACACGCGGAATCTGAACAATTTGACACGCTTTGAAATCCCAAGAGACTGTGAAAATAACGAATCCAGCTAATTGGATGCTAATCTACATTGTTCCCATATTACCACAGCAATTAAAACAAATTATAACTATTAAATGGCATTAAAAATGCTACGGACACAAACGTGCACGAGATTCTAAGAAAGATAAATCGGTTAAGCATACATAATCGATGTTGATGTTTGAACATTGAAAAATCTGCAGTACTGCTACTGATTGTTCTGACTGGGTGGTTATCTATTTATTCTATCAGTATCTTTCAGTTGATAGACCCGACAATATAGTAGATAATTAAGTAACTGACAAATCTGTATGAATGCTTTGTAAAAACCGATGCCGTGGCAATAGCCGATAGAGAACAGTTAAAAACTAGCGTCAAGTGCACTTCACATGCAACGATGTCATCAAATCATAGATACTATGTGTAGCCCGTCTGAGAAAGAAGCTAAGTACGAACATGTATAATATATATATATATATATACAGGGTGACTTCGAAGTTGAGTCATTTATTTTAACAGTGAGTAGATCTGATCAAAAGAAATGTTTTTTTCCTTTACCATTTTTCTGGTAAAATTAAAGTAACAAAGTTATAGCCCTTTGGAAGTTTGAGTACCGCCCTGTCTCAATAACATCATGTGCTGGTGTTTGGCAACAACGGATATAATCCACATTATCGGTTCATCGCATCGGAAACAAAAAAGCGAAAGAATTTGGAACGATGTTTACTTTATTCAGTTCAGTTATACATACAATCAGTGTCAGTCGCGTGTGAATAGTATCTGTTGCGTGGCTCAAACGAAATAAAAAATGGCACATGTTTATGCGGATCGGTTTCCCAATCGAGTGCAACCAACCCCTCGTGCCTTTGTTAATAGTAGTACAACGGGCTCGTGAATCAGGTGACTTCAGACCTCACAGGGGACCTCACGATCAAATACAGGTCCGCACTGAAATACTTGTCGGGAGGATACTTTATAAAACAAGGTAAAATTTTTTTTTATTTTTTTTTATTTTTACACACATATTTTGGTTTATCTTCCTTCTACAATCATTATCTGAAAATTAATGACTCAACTTCAAAGTCACCCTGTATATAATATAAACGTTGCCATCTAGAATTTTCTCATCTGCAATCGTAGCTATGGTTGCCAGGCTTTCTAGACAGCGGACAGCTCCCGACGGGTTTATCTTCTATTCCCGTTCCATTCGACGCGGGTTTTGAAAATACTTCTATCATTCTTCGGGAAAATGAACGGAGAAATTTATGTGTGAAATATATCTGACAGATCGATACAATTACCGATGTTGGAATCTTATGAATATACTCACAAATTAAGATACAGTAGACCCCCGATAATCCGGCCCCTGGCTAATTCGGCGCTCCCTGTAATCCGACATGTGTTTGAATATTACATACATACGTATTTGACAATCTTCGCTAATGTAGATCACGCAGGTTTGAACAGGTTACAACTTGTACGCGCCACCGCTATCATGCTCGACGCGTAAGCATTGTTTTACTTAGTTTGAATTTGACTACTTGTGATAGCGGTACGGCCTAACGTGCGTTCATTGTTTACTATTTATTCATTGTGTATTAAGTATAGTACCTAGTAATGTCATCACAAACTCAGAAGCGAAAGCACAAAACATTGACAATTAAAGAAAAATGTGATATTTTAGACCACTTAATTCGCAATGAAACTTTCAGTAGTTTAGCAAGTGAATACGGCGTAGGCCGATCTACAATTTATGACATTAAAAAAAAGAAACCACGAGAAGATCAAGAAGTTCGTGTCAACTACTGACTGCGGGCCAGGCAAGAGACAGACACTCAAGAAAGCTGAACATCGAGAAGTGGAATAAGCTTTGTACATGTGGTTTCTTCAAGAAAGAAATAGGCATGCACCAATTTCAGGAACCATGTTGGCCATGAAAGCTAAGTTTTTTTATAAGTAAATAAAAAAAGATGATTTTGTGGCCAGCAAAGGATGGCTAGAACGTTTTAAAAGTCGTCATGGCTTACATTTAATGACTATTACAGGAGAGAAACTTTCTAACGATGCCACCTGCATAGAGCCCTTTAAATTTTTTGCAAAAGGTGAACGATTTGAATCTTGACCCGTCACAGGTGTACAATGCAGACGAATCAGGGCTTTTTTGGCGTGTGATGCCTAACAAACAAAAGACCTTTTCAAAAAGTGGTTTGATGAATGCTTCGTACCTGAAGTTAGCAAATGGTTAGAAGATCATAATTTTCCTCAAAAAGTGTTGTTGCTTCTTGATAACGCTCCCGGTTATCCGTCTAAAGAAGAACTAACAACTGAGGATAAATGAATCACTGCGATGTTTCTTCCGCCAAATTGCGCTGCACTGATTCACCCAATGGACCAGAATATCATTCAGTTTGTCAAGCAAGACTATAAGAAAAAACTACTTCTGAGAGCCGTATCAAAAGACCAACCAATAGAAAAAACTTTAAAAGAATTTAATATGAAAGACTTGGTTTTTGCTCTTTGTCAGTCGTGAAATGCGTTACCGTCATCAACTATTAAATCGTCTTGGAAAAAGTTATGGCTAGATATAGTCCCCACTCCTAGCAACGTTCCACAAATCATTGTAACTTCGGAAGTTATAGAACAAGTGGCTACTGAAACATAGATAAGTCCGGAAGATTTGGAAATCTGGTGCCGTGGAATGGATAAAGAGGAAAATGTTTTTCATGAAATGTCTGACGAAGAGATTATAAAAGAGGTTTCTAATTATACAACAAACAATCAGGAAAATAACGATGACGTGATTGCAACTGCTCCACAAGTCACAGCACAAGACGTAATTAACGCCTTTGAGCTAGGTTTACAACGGGCTGAAGAGAATGGTACATCCTACAACGAACTTTTACTTTTGAGAAGACTGAGGGACAAAGCTCTGATCTCGCGTTATAACAACCTTAAACAAACAAAAATTGATGAATATTTCCAAGCTTCATAATTTGATAAATTCATTAATGATTTTGATTAATAATTCTTGATTATTTTGGTACATATGTATGTGCATTTATGCTTAATTTTATAATAAAACGTAAGCTCTCTATTGTTATTTAATTTACTAAATTCGACATACATAAACTATGTATGATTTGTACTTCAAAATACATACATATACATAACATATATAATCTTACCATTGGATATATAATTTGTCGGATTACAAGGTACTCTTTTGTAAAAAAGTCTGGACTATAGGGGGTCTTAGGCAGTGATCTATAATCCGACAAATTCGATAGTCCGACACTGCCCTGCATAATGTTTGTCGGATTACCGGAGGTCCACTGTATATCCTCCCCCACAACCTATACAATGCCCGCCCTCAAAAATTTTGAATGAGTCTCTGAAACGTCAAGACACAAAGCTTAAGCCTCCAATAGGAGTAAGAAACGAAAGTCAAAAAAATATTTCTTGTACAACCGATCGAATAAGTAGTTCTTATTGATTGCTTCCAATTACGCAAAGTGAACGTTTTCAGAGGACATTTCGTAAATGATAAGCTTGCCGCTCTACATTTACGATGTAGTAAAAACGCTTGCTGCTTGTTGCCAGAATGACGTATCCGATGAATAAAAAAAAATTGGCAGACTTAGATTTGTCACTAGTCACAATACTCGTATATACGTATAAATCGTAAGAATTGTGCTGTAGACGTAGGTGATGTCAAAAAGGGGCAGCTTTTGGAATACCAAACGATACCTAAAATGCTCAGTTCCTATAGCCTATAACTTATAGTTAGTATGTGTCAGAAAGTAAGACAAGGGCGCTAGATTACAAAAGCAAGTATCAATACTTCATCGCCAGTGGCGTAAAAAGTAAAAAAAACCGGTACCTCAAGCTCGCTTATACTTTTGGGGGCTCATTTTGGGAGCGGGAATGCCTAAGCCGAGCGGTCCTGTAGTGTTGCTGTTTTTACGCGGTACGTAACCATTCAGGCTGTTGTAGCAACACATGATACAGTAGCGAAAAAAAGAAGGCAAATGAACAGTCAGCAGAAAGACAGATAAACGTTAAATATATTGTCATTGTCGGTTATAAGTAATACTTCGAAAAAGGTCACCGTGGTGGCAAAAAGAAGGAATTCAAACATATATGTATGTGTGTTCATCTAGCAGCCAGGGAACCGTGGAATACTATCAGCATGAAAACCAAAGGATAAGCTTCAGCTGATATCTATATATCATAGCGTCTTGTATTGAAAGGATCGTTTTATTTTTACACATATAATAGGAATAGGAAAAGGCAGAATGCGCATATCTCTTATTGCTTAACAAGGTTTTTAAGTTAAAATTTCAGTATTTTACACTGACAGGCGTTCTGTATGACAGCTGTACTAGTGCGAGAAGTCTTGCAATTTGGTCTCCAGTCGCGGCATTGAATGTACATCCCTTGTTCGTCAGAAAAGATACTTTTACAAATGCAAAGTAGCAAACATTATTTTCTATTTAAATCTGCACGGTACAAAATGATTGCATGCGTGATCATGCATATACTTTGAAACTTTCTAAAGGACACACTCCATCGTCTTTTCTTGAGTAAAAGCATAACCGAGTGCATAACAGTCATTTTATGAAACGCTTGAATGAACAGGTTTGTTTACTATGCAACGAATATCTTTTTAATTGTGACTTGTTAGTAGCGACCCTGAGTACACATCTTCAAACGTTTAGAATTCCCGCGACAGCGTATAGTCTTAATGCTATATCAGTACCTGTAGCTGCACTAGACACATCGCTTGCATATAATTAACGACAAATGTAATGTTGGTACCCAAGGTCTCTATTGTTTAATATCTGCTTAGTTAACTAAAAATAGATTGTAGATTGTTTATCAACGTAGATGAAAGAGATTCTTCTGTTTCCTAAAAAAAAAAAACGGATTGCAAATTCTTATTGAAAGTGATATAGGGAGTTCTCAAGCGCTATACAAAAGTTACTACCTACCAATAAATGTTACAGGAATGAATAAAAGATAGTATAAATGGCAACACTGATTAGAACTAGCAGTGAAATTCGATGTGTGATTCGTTTCACGTTGAAACAAAATCTGTAAAAGGCGTGACCTACTGCCCCTGGTTAGCTTATTATGGGCTCAAAACACGACTTCATGGACTCTAGCAGAACATCTGTGGCGGACTTAGGAATCCGTCTAGAGTTGTTCATGTTCAGGAGGAAGATGTTCGTCTTGTGTGGGGGGAGGGGGCGTGGAAGTTGCATGCTCAAGCACTTAAGCAGCGCTTCTGTGAGCAAACGCCCATCTGACAATTGGAATTGAAGAGCGATGAGTGGGGTACGTCTCGGAGGGGGGCACATGTCACGATTGAGGTCAGGCAAGGCCAGTTAAGATTAAGCAGTAAGTACATGATACAGCAATATTTAGCATTTTCTTGGAAAAGATGTCGGACTTCGCCGCCCTTCTAAATCTTCCCCTGAGGCTCATACATCCCCTCTTCAGCTCGTCAATCGTCAGGAGCACATACAGGGTCCCAAGCCTGCAATTTTCATTTTGCCCTGGAGCCCCTTCCGCATTCGGCCCTATTTGAGGGCCAGATGTTTTGAGGAAACAATATACATAAAAGTGACATACCAAAGTTGGTATCATTTTATCAATCTACCTCCCCATGGCCGGCCGCAGAAATATTCCAGGTGGGCTGATCATCTGTTTTGTAAAAGTGTCCCTGCCTCAAAAGCCTGAACCTACATGAAATCATGCTAAATATGAAAGCTTTAAGCTCTAACCAGAGGGGGCACTGCCCCCCAGGCATCCCGCTGCGGGCGCACATGTCCTGCTCGGATAGATTTCCTCAGTTAGTCCCCCCTCATGACGGGTCATAAGAAATGGTACATTTATTATAAACTAACGGACTGTACTATAAAATAATTTTGCGCGCTGCGCCATCTCTTAGGCGAAAACGATACTGTTTTTGCTGTATAAGCAACAGAGATGACCCAACCGAGAAGAAACCTGTACGGCTTTGTGGATTAATATATAGTTTCGTCTCCACGGGATAGATAGCGAAGTATTACCTTGACTTTTTTATTTACATTATTTTGTTATAACCAGAGATAGGTGGAAATATAAATAAAAAGCATTACAGCTGAAATAAATATTACGAAGTTGATTCAATAATTTGGCGTATTGAATGGATTAAACGTATATACTATGAGGCGCCACCTACTCGGTCAAAATGAAAATCATATCTCAAATCCATAAGAAATCTATGATTTTCAATTTCTTACTACGGATTATTCACCATATATATGGCACACTAAGAATCCCTGATTTGAATGTTTGAATTCGCCTTTAAAGGGGAACTAAAGTAAAAATTAAATTGAACCTGAATTCAGACGTTATTGACTATAGAATTTAAGTTGTTTAATTTGATCTTACAATTCAAGGCAAACAGGGCCGTAGGAAGCTCTGGATCCACAGTACTGGACTGACCCCTTTGCTCCCTAAAACTCTGGTACACAATTTTTAAAAAAATGTCTAATTTGCTAAATGGTTTAAAATTATAAATTAATAAAAAAAGTGGGGCTATGATGTGCATCGTATTTAGGGACCATTATCGTTATTTCCTACTGCACACAGATAACGACACCTATCACGTATGTACATCGCAGAATCCTGATTCTCAGGTTTTTGAATTTTACTCACGATTTGCCATGGTTTTTTTGTTTTTTTAATAAAATCCAACATTTCTGCATGCAACCCGTTTGATCTGTCAAAATTGAAGTTGTTTACGTTCAAGATGACTGCAACAGAGAGAGATTTAGATATGAAAGAGATGCCACATGCGTAAAACCTGAAATTCATTTCCTGCGCAGTGTACCTACAAGATAGCCCGCCTTCATCGTCGACAATTCTGGCTTCTCTGGCTATCTCTAGTCTTCCTCAACGGGAACTAATCCGGAAAGCTAGAAGCATATGGCACTAGTTCGTCTGATGATCATAATATATTTCATATTCAAAAGGTGAAAAATAGGTTACACTTCTACCAAGTCTGTCTTTCTCTACGTTTGGCACCTTGCGTCCCAACCATACTACTGCTCCCCAGGGAGCAAAATCGAACATCATAGCCATTGATAATGTGAAATAATTGCAATAGGTATGACAGGAGTCAAAATTGATTATTCGCCGTCTAGCGGATGTCGACGAAAAATACTTGTCATCGACTCGTGCAATATAAAAATAAACGGATATCAATGAAAATAACACAGCGGGTATTCACTCTTATGGGATGAATTATTGGAACAGTGTTTTGAGTTGTAGACCAATCTGTTGGATGCAACTGGTATCGCTATTGTCATTTGTCGGAAGCGTGGCGTCTGGCGTCGCTTGTGTTCCTCTCCTCCCCAGAGATAAACCCAGTGATGATAAACCACTGGGTTCTTTCCTTGCTGAGTTCTTGTGAATACGGATTATCGTTGTGGATGCTTCCTTTTTCAGAAACCATGTCTCGGTACCGCAAATGTGCAGTTAGAGGCTGCCAGGACAGTGTTTCAGTATGGCATAGATTCCTGATCAACAAATATTCAACCCGACTGATGAAATTCTTGGTATGTTGCTTTGTTTTATTTTTAGTATCACCCAGTTTTACATATCTCAACTTCAATTACATATAATCAGCTTTTTGGAAACTGTTTTAAGTAGTGACTTTCAACAGTGTTTAGTACAAGTGATTGATACTACATAACTATAGTCTGTTTATCGAAGGAAGAGCAAATCCAAACATATACATGCATATTTTACATGACTGGTGAGGCTACATGCACCTTCATGTTGTCTCCTGTTCCACCCTCCTGGTTTGGCATTGGCAGACAACACAGTGCATGTAGCAAGTCACATAAAATATGTGTGAACATTGTTGGATTTGGTGTCTTTCTTCATTAAAAAAAGTATGTAGTTAATATTTTCCATTTAAAACTCATTTCAACTCATTGATGGTAATCATTTATATTTGGAATAAGTTAGACTGAGCTCCAGTTAACACTAGGAATGTTATAAGGTGAATATTTATACAGGGAAATTAGAGATAACATTATCTTATTTGCAAACATCTCATTGGTAGTTGTTTCAATCAAAAAAAGCAAATCTTAATAGAAGTTCTTCAAAATTGTGAAAGTTTGAAAAGAACATTGACTATCAATCACTTGCATTTATTTATATTTTATTGAATTTATTGTCTTGTAAAAATACAGTTGTAATGGATGCTTAACATATATAATAATAATATTTATTCACTCAATGTACAAAGATAACACACAATGTGAGTTAATAAATATAGAATCAAAATAATAATATATAATATCAATTTCATTCTTTATTTCAAGGTTCCTCAAGGACAGAATCTGGATTGTTGCATAAGGTACATGTAACCAGAGAAACCCACTTAAGTCCAAAAGCTAAAAAGCTATATAAGATAGCCAGTCACCTCTCTAGAGCTAACAGAAGACTAGGATGTACAAGGTTCATTAGAAGTACCAGAAGTAAATCAGGCATTGCAGCAATTGGACAGCACTGTAGCTACTTTTATCAAAAGCCAGATCACACTGACTGGTAGTAAATCACAGGGACGCAGATATAGCTAGAAGACAAATTGATGGGACTTATACTTCATAAACAAAGTGGTAGGGGATATCGAGCATTATCAAAAATATATGCTTTGCCCTCAAAAAAAAAACAATAATGCAGCTATTAAACCGGATTCCCATCAATCCAGGTGTAAATGATGTGATTTTTTAAAGAAGGGAATACTTGCATCCAAGAGAGCCATTAAAAACCATCTTCTGGGGTCTACTAGCCAAGCTAGCTGATATATTTCTTTTTTTTTTGTTAGAGCGGACCAAGTAGTATTGATGTATAACTTCTTAAGATTACCCTATTTAAGCCTTAATTATTGTATATGTTAGTTAGTCGATTGCTATTCATTGTTATATCTTTTTTTGTATGTGTTTCTGCCCTGTGAGTTTAAGTGGTAGAGTAGCCAGCTGGATAAACTTTGCCTCGCAGTGTGGATGGATTTCTAAAGGCATTATTATTATTATATTTAGCTTTGTGAGAAAAGGTGATATAATTTGTATATGAATGATTGACCATAAAATGACTATAATTATTTCTTTAATTTTAATTCCTCCCTTCACATCCCCTGTAAAGATCTTCCACAAGCCATAAAATCGCTAAATGATGAGAAATTTAGAACACTGGTTAGGACATCTATTTTAGCAAAATATACCTAAAGTCGTTACGTTTACCTACCACTTCAAAAAAAAAATGCCATGTAGATTTTGCTCCTTTCAAATGTAAAATTGTTATTTATATTTTATAGACAATATCCTTATACAACTTAATTTTGATCATATCTCTGAATGGTTTAATTTCTGCTATATTAGTCATTAATACGTGACGCGCGACTCACCCCAGCGCTGTGAGTCGAAATGCCCGTCATGTATTAAAGACTAAGAAAGTGGAAATGAACCCATTTGGAGTGTTTTTGTTATGTAAGACGATTTATTATTAACAGAATGTAAAAAGCCCCATTAGGTTTGTCCTATTAAGATGGAAAGGCCCATTATTCAGCACTGGTGTGAGACCAATCCACCAGAGGTCGCAGAAATACGGTAACTTATTTTAGTATTGGAGTTTCCCATCTCTAGAAGGGTTTATCAAAAATTTTGCAGGGCAGAGACCTTCTCACTCTATACAAGGCCTAGCCTCGAGTATTGCTCACACGTTTGGGGTGCTGCCACCCCGACTACATTATCCATGCTCGATGCTGTCCAGAGGAGGGCGGTCCGACTGATCGATGACTCTTCTCTAACAGGCAGTCTCGGGACTCTTTCGCACCAGCGGGCCGTCGGCGATCTAGCTCTTTTCTATCGCTACACCAACGGGCTTTGCTCCTCAGAGCTCTCTTCCATGATGCCGCCGTGAGATGGGCCTGCCAAACAGACCCGCCTGAGTTTGGCGACCCATCCTAACCGTGTCGAACTTCGTACATCCAGAACTGGCCGATACGACCGCTCCTTTGTCCAGAGGCAGTTCAAAAATCGTATTAACAAAATTTCTTTGGGATCATAGCAGCCGCGGTATTCCGGCATTTAGGCTTGTGCTTCGATAAAAAAAAATCTAAAGATTACCTATTTATTAGCCACTTCAAATCAAGGTTTGATGATAATAATAATAAAAAAAATTTAAATACATAATACTTTATTGAAAGATATATAATAGAAAAACATTAAATTAGAGAATTTATACCACATTATATCTCAATTGATTCTTTCAGTCCATTTGCATTATCAATTCTCAGTGAATAATCTCCTCATATTTTCTTTGGCTTGTTGCACTTCTTCCTCCAATCTACTGATTTCTTCACAAGTTTTGTCTGTGATCGACTCAAACAAACAATATTTTGCATTTAGTTCATCGATTTGTTCCATAACATCATTGAGATTCTCACTATTTGGATTGGGAAACTCAAATACTTTTTGGGACAACAGTGAATTTAGTTTGGAAAGTGCTTCCACAAGATTTAACGGCTCAGAATTTGATTCACCATGCTTCAGGGTTGGTATACCTCTATTGAGATATTCCAAAATGGACCGGATTTCCGGAAACAACGTTTTCGAAACTTCCAATTCCTTCCACAGCTTTTTCAGCCCGTTACATTTCTCTTCTAATTGATGAGCGGTTAGCAATTCGCCTTGTTTGTTCGCAAACTCTCTTCTGTTCAACTCCAAAACGGGTGTCAGCTCCTTTATCTCGGCGTTTACTTTGCTCAGCTGCCGTTCGCATTCCGCAGCTTCCGCCTTCGCTTTTTCTTTCGATTCCCTGAACTGCTCGATCATCTTCCCAGTGTCAGCCAGCACTTGTCGTGTAGATTTCCTCAAAACACTGTCAAAGCTTGCATCGTCTGCAGGCTTCGGAGGGAGCAAGAGGTGCTCTACTCCGCTGCGCCTGAGGTGTTCAGCTATAACTAGCTGCGACAGTTTGAGCAGGAATTTCACGATACGGCCCCCGCCCGGAGATATGAAGTGCGAGGCGGGCAACTGCGGGATATCCCAATGGTGCTGCTCGTTCACTTCGCGGATGAATTGGTGGACTTCCTTGCGAAATTTTATCTCCGTTTCGGAGTCGAACACCGGCCAGGTGACGCGCTGTTTCGTTAATTCTGGGCTCAGGATGCGCAATAGGTAGTGGACGACTTGTTGGAAAGCAGCTTTGTTCACCTTCGAGAACATCTCTTTGCACAACAGGGATTTCAATTCTTCTGTGGCAGGGTAGAAATGCGTTAGCAGATCGACGTTTTCGTATATCATCTCGTGCGTGTCCATTTCAGAAAATTGATTTATTTCGTTTATTGGTGAGGTAAGAGTGAAATTGTAACGGCAAATTCAAAATGACACTAGTGACAGAAAAGTAGTGGTGAGTGGTGTGTAGTTCGCGAACGTACTAGTTCAGTCCAACAATTGTTATGAACTAAGTGAACTAGTTCATCATTCCACGAAAATCTCTATTCACTTCGAACGACTGGTGACTTGACTTGATGATGCCGCAGGGGTATTATAGAAAAAAACTTGAAAAACGAAAAATGTCATCTTGCAGATTAGCTAGTTTTTAGTGAAATAGTTCGTTCCACGCGTGCTCGGTATAGTCTCTGTAGGCGTCATCAAAAGCGTTCATCTATGGATTCAACGACATGCCACGCTCAAACATGCATTACTGGTTGCAGAAAACCTAGTAGTGTTCATCTCTGAGCTGTGATAGGAAGAAAGTTGATTGAGTAGCGAGATTGCATCTGGATGATTATGTGTATAGGTCTGCATATGTATAAATTCAGTGATATGCTAGAAAATGATGCCAATAAAGTATGTCTGTTCGATATGCACGACGGGTTATTTATGTGTTGTCCTTTCTGAAGACAAATTATTTGTCAAAAAAACGACAAAATGGAAAGTGTTCCAAGATACGTAATACCCGTGCGGATGGAAGATTGAGAGGCGACGCTTTCACTTTCTTGTGTAAAGTAGTTCGTACGCGAACTAGTTCCTAGAACTAGTTAACTAGAATGCACATTACTACAGAAAAGCAAGTTGTTCTATGATCTATGTTGTCTAGGCTTGTTGGGTTGCCGTTTGGAATTTAGGCCTTGTAAAAAAAATCAAGAGGTAGCCAAAGAACTTTCAACAAGCACTCTACATTGTTTTGGTTGAGAGAAATGCCAAGAATGTTCTCGCAAAGTTAGCTAGTAAGTCGTAATAGATTCTAGTACAATTTAATAGTTCGCCCCACTCTAAAATACAAAGTTAACATGAATCAAATCCAAGCGAATAACCAAAATTTCTGTGTTATGTGCCGCGGTTATAATATGGTTCAAGATGACACACGGGTTGATGACGTCAGTTACACGAATCGCTTGAACGCGTTGGTTTTAACCGCGGTTTTGTTGCAAGTTGTTTATTTTAGAAAAGCGCGTATATAATCTCTGATTATTTTTATTATCACTTAATAATCGGTGCTTTTTCGTCTACAACTGTATATGGAAAGTTTAAATAAGAAACCTTTCATAATATTCATGGGAGACATGTTTTTTTCAGATTTTTTTTTAATGATGGAACCATGGCTTTGTAGCTATGATAACTTTCAATTCTCTAAATTTTTCCGCATGTCAAAGAAAACATTTATTGATTCAGCAGAAATGATGAAAAAAGATATTAGCAAAACCGTGTACAGGTGGATATCATCTAGTGAGTTTATATGGCCATATTTTAATATTCTTGTGGCATATGGCTACACAGGATACTTTGTTAAGCATAGGAACTACATTTAAAGTGTCATCAACAACCGTAATGAGTATAACTAATAAGGTGCTCCAATTTATGGTAAAACTGAAGTCAGCCTGTATCATTTTTCTCAAAATTGAAGCTGAAGTACAATAACAATATCCAATACCCGGCAAAATTCTAACTTGTCACATTTCAAATAATAACCAGAAATATAAAACTACTCTTGAGTTGGGTAAATACCACAATTTTGCGGTGATAACTATGACATATAACAGCTGATTCGTGACGTCACGGATCTTATAACCAAACTGATAACTACACTCGCTTGAACGGATTGGTAAATACCAACCCAAAATGGTAAATACCATTTCCATTTGGTTATCCGCTTGAATTTGATTATGTATGACACACCAATTATTTGTGTTCTATAATCAAATCCAAGCGAATAACCAAAATTTCTGTGTTATGTGCCGCGGTTATGGTTAAAGATGACACACGGGTTGATGACGTCAGTTACACGAATCGCTTGAACGCGTTGGTTTTAACCGCTGTTTTGTTGCAAGTTGTTTATTTTAGAAAAGCGCGTATATAATCTCTGATTATTTTTATTATCACTTAATAATCGGTGCTTTTTCGTAAGTTAAGAGCATTAATGAAAATTTTACAGTCAATCCATAGCATTTCTTACTTCAGCAAGGTAATATAACATATTGTGTTACGGACTTATCCTATAGGTACGATAACAGAAATAGAATCACTTGAAGCAGGGTTGACGAAATTCCGGCCATTTTGTATTGGTTTTTCACGTTTGCCCTTTCTTTTGGATTATTGAGTTTTTTGGTTTTGACGAATTTTTTTTTTTATTTTTTGTGAAGAGGACACATTTGCCCGATGTCTCAGATATTTTTCCAGCCCTAACCAGAAATTAAATCGTAGCTGTTCCAAGGGACTTTGTTGAAGAATACAAAAAGATATTTCTCAACTCGCACCATGAGGTACATAGAACAGGAGGAAGCGATCAGCATCGACCAGGAGCTGTTCAATGAATACAGATTCTCTGTAGATCAGCTCATGGAACTGGCCGGGCTTAGCTGTGCTACAGTCATTGCAAAGATGTACTCAATGGAGAAAGTTGGAAACAAATCTATATTAGGTATACCTTCAATGCTATTTTGGTAATTGTCTAGCTTAGCTACACCTGCCTTTTTTATTTCTTCATCTGAATAGGCACTAGGTTTGGTTTGGAAGTGATATTAAAAATGGGTTAGCTGCAGAATAATAATGGTAATTCTCTAGCAACTAGCTACAACCATTTTTGATAACAAAATAATTTTGGAGCCATTTCCCTCATCTACACACCCAAAAACAGTTGTTGCTTACCATTATTTTTTATTAGAAGATACATTTTTATATTTAGGTTCTAATACAAAAATGATATACATTGAAATCTGCTTTGGACGGACACCAAATACAACAAAAATTGTGTTCTAATGAAAACTGAATATATTAAAGAAACTGGGACATTCAAAACGTAGATGTATATAAATGCCTTTAAAATAAACAAAAAATTTTAAACATCAGAAAAAAATGGTTTGGCACCATTAGATATTTACAAAGTATGTACGAGCCCCTTCCCACTTCAGTTGGCCCACTTTCAAGATTTGTACCACCAAAATATGCCTTTATAAACTAAACATGACGAAACTATTTACTTCTAAAACAATTTATTTTCTCAAAAACATTTTAGATACACTCTAGTCGTAAAAAATACATATTTGAAATCACTTAGACCTATAACTAATAGAACATCTGATCAAATAAACAATGTGCGAATAAATGCGTGAAGGTAACAAAGCAAACAATTGAAAGATTACCATTGGGTAACATCACCTTTATTTTTTATTACAGCTGAAATTCTTTGGGGCATAGTGTTAACCAAGTTTTGGCAAAAATTTGGTGTATAACAATCCCATATTTCTTGGGGCTTTTGTCTCAGTTTGGTGATTGTACGAGCAGGATGTTGTCGTAGAACCTTTTTCATCTCGTGCCACAAAGTTTCAATAGGTGACAGATCTGGGCTGCTAGAAACCCATTTCAAAAGTGGTACATTATTTTCTTCCATCCATTTTATAGCCTTTTTTGAGGTATGGCACACTGCACCATCTTGCTGAAACACAAAATCTTGGCCGGATGTCAAACATTCTTCCATCACTGGTAAAAGCGATTCTTCGAAAATTGCCAAATATTTGTTTGTATCCACATTTCCATCAATAAAATGAAGTTTTCCTACTTCTTTTGATGACATACTGCCCCAGACCATAATGGCTGCTGGAAATTTCACTTTTCTCTTCAGACAATCAACATGGAATGCTTCATTTTTTTTGCGAATAACTCTACTGCGACTGTCACCAACACGAACTTCGAATTGGGCCTCATCACTCCATTGTATTGCACACCATTTATATATATATATATATATATATATATATATATATATATATATATATATATAATTATATATATTATTTCCAGTAATCTGCGGTCCCGGCAACAACGGCGGCGACGGCCTGGTGTGCGCGCGCCATTTGAAGGTGTTCGGATACAAGCCGGTGATTTACTATCCGGTACGCACCGAGAAGCAACTCTACAACAACCACTCAGTGCACGAACATGGCGGTGCCTTTCTTGCAAATGCTGCCCGAACTGTCGACGGTCGAATGCACGTTCGCGCTGATCGTCGACGCCGTGTTCGGGTTCAGCTTCAAACCGCCGGTGAAGCAGGCGTTCGTCGCAAGCATCGATCTCATGAAGAAGGCTACGGTGCCTGATGTCAGGTATGTGACGGCGATGAGGTTCCAATGCATAGACCAGTCAAGTCACATGAGGAAAAATGTCAAGGAAACATAAAAAACATTTTTGATTTAAATTTTTTGTTGTCTTTTGCATAATTCCTTAAATATATCATTTTGTAAGTAAACAAAATGAATGAGTTATGATGGAAAGATTAATGGACTTGACTGGTGTAACAAGTTTTTTGATTTATTAAGGGATAAAATTAAAATATACAACAAACTTTGACGTTAAAAATATTGTTTTGTTAAGTTTATGAATGAAATAAACTTTAATGCAACTTTTGGTTCAAACTTAAAATATTTTCATTTATCTTCTTTGAATTCTGATGCGGAAGTTTATTAAGTTTATCTGGTGAAAAGCTCTGATGGTATTTTCTGATTTCTTCACATAGTTTTTAGCCAGAGTCATAACGTGATCAAGTTTTTTCTTCTTTCAGTATTCATCTTAATTGCAGTGTTTTGTAGAGTCAGAGGCTGCACATTCCTGCGATCTTCGGATTTCAAAAATATTAAACTGTTACAGATAGACTGTTTCACTACATTTAAATAATATTTCATTACCTAGCTGTTCATAGCGCACGATTCGACATTTTGAAATCGTAAATTTATCGTACTTCCTTGAAAGATTCGAGTACTCTTGCAGCAAATATATTTTGTCGTGATTTCACTGTGTAAAAACCATTCAAGTCCAGGATTTGGGCTATTGCCTTTATCAAGAGACTCCACAACCTTGTTTTTTTTGTTACAATGTTAATTTTGTATGATTGCTCGTTTACACGGTTTTTTATTCAATTTTCGGTAATTTTACATTTTTGTCTATTGGGTTTTTTGGGTATTTATAAAGTGATTTATTGATTTATCATGAGCCATTTTTAATTGTTAACAACAACACCAATGCATTGAAAGTTGATTTAAACGTCAAAACTCAGCTTCTTACCAATTTAAAATATCATCATTTGTCATACAAAGCCTAGCATTATTTTATCGAAGACCATTGAACATGTTTTTTGCTATACACAAATTATTTTGCAAAGAAGACAATTTATAAATATAAACGATTTTTAAAAATAGCCGTGTCGGTTTTGTTATCTTTCCATAAACATTTAAAGAAAACAAAAATACTATATTTGAAATAAAATTTTAATTAAATGTTCCTGTTTACCTTTAGTTTGTTAGGTTTTGAATATAAGCAGATTGAGTATCGCACGAATCCTTAGCTCCTCTTCAATTTACGTAATTTGTTGCAGTATCGATCTCGCTTCGGGCTGGCACGTGGATAACGGCGAGCCCGAAATGCGAAGCGGCCTGAATCCCGAAATGCTGATATAGCTGACGTGCCCGAAAAGGGGCGCGCTTGATTTCAGAGGAATATACCACTATTTGGGAGGCAGATTCGTGCCGCCCGCGTTGGAGGAAAAGTACGAGCTGAACCTGCCGGAGTACCCGGGAACGGACTGCTGTGTCCTCATCAGCTGCGATTGCGAGGATGAGGAACATCAGAAAGAGCATTAGACCCGCAAAAATCGGGCTAGATTATTTGATGTTTTTAGGGAGTCAAACCCAAAATGTAGTAATCGGCGATTTGTCTAGCGGTATTTTTTAATAAATATAGTCGACTGTGTAGGATTATCTTGAACAGGAGAAGCATCCGTTTTTTATTGTTTCTAATTAATGTTGGCCGTGGAATATTTGATTTTTGTACTCTTTCACCTGTGTAAACATAGCACTCCAAAAAATTATCACACAATCTACAGATATTTTTCTTTTGAAAAAAAAATACCTCTAGACGAATCACACAATATAAACCATAGCAGATGTATATTTAAGAAATCCAAAAGGCTGATACACTTAGTTCCATGAATCTCGTTTTTGTGTCTTGACATGCGTAATTTCGTACAAAGTTACGTGCTCTTCATGCGGGGCATTATCGGATCCATTTTAAGAAGAAAACTTTATATGAACCTAAACGTCTCAACTTTTGAGATACCTTCAGTTTTCAAAAATAAATATTTTATCATCTTCTGACAGAATTTTCTTGGTCACTTCCAGACCCGCTGATTTCTGAAATTTTTGCATGAGCAATTTTCCACTTCTGATAACGGATCGGCATATATTTTGTCAATTTGGTCAACTTTGACTATCAATCACTTGTGTTTATTTACAAATGGAACATTTTATTGAATTTATTGTCTTGTAAAAATACAGTTGTAATGGATTCTTTACATATATAATAATAATAATAATATTTATTCACTCAATGTACAAAGATAACAAACAATGTGAGTAAATAAATATAAAATCAAAATAATAATATATAATGTAATATCAATTTCATTATTTATTTCAAGGTTCCTCAACGACAGAATCTGGATTATTGCATAAGGTACATGTAACCAGAGAAACCCACTTAAGTCCAAAAGCTATATAAGATAGCCAGTCACCTCTCTAGAGCTAACAGAAGACTAGGATGTACAAGAAGGTTGATTAGAAGTACCAGAAGTATTGAGCTTTATCAAAAATATTTGCTTTGCCCTCAAAAAAAAAAAAAACAATAATGCAGCTATTAAGAACCATCTTCTGGGGTCTGCTAGCCAAGCTAGCTGATATATTTCTTTTTTTTTTTGTTAGAGCGGGCCATGTAGTATAGATGTATAACATCTTAAGATTACTCTATTTAAGCCTTAATTATTGTATATATTAGATAGTCGATTGCTATTCATTGTTATATCTTTTTTTTGTATGTGTTTCAGCGCTGTGAGGTTAAATGGTAGAGTAGCCAGCTGGATAAACTTCGCCTCGCAGTGTGGATGGATTTCTAAAGACATTATTATTATTATTATTATTATATTTAGCTTTGTGAGAAAAGGTGATATAATTTGTATATAATATGAATGATTGACAATAAAATGACTATAATTAATTCTTTAATTTTAACGGTGGTTGCCTTTACTTGATGGAAATCCATTTTACGTAATAAAACACTCCGAATAGTTTAATTTCTGCTATATTAGTCATTAATACGTGACGCGCGACTCACGCCAGCATTGGAGAAAGACACTGTGTGTCGAAATGCGCGTCATGTATTAAAAACTAAGAAAGTGGAAATTAACCCATTTGGAGTGTTTTTGTTACGTAAGACGATTTATTATTAACAGAATGTAAAAAGCCCCATTAGGTTTGTCCTATTAAGATGGAAAGGCCCATTATTCAGCACTGGTCGCAGAAATACGGTAACTTATTTTAGTATAGGAGTTTCCCATCTCTAGAAGGGTTTATCTCTGCTCTTACCTCACCAATAAACGAAATAAATCAATTTTCTGAAATGGACACGCACGAGATGATATACGAAAACGTCGATCTGCTAACGCATTTCTACCCTGCCACAGAAGAATTGAAATCCCTGTTGTGCAAAGAGATGTTCTCGAAGGTCGCAAGCTTTGACAGTGTTTTGAGGAAATCTACACGACAAGTGCTGGCTGACACTGGGAAGATGATCGAGCAGTTCAGGAAATCGAAAGAAAAAGCGAAGGCGGAAGCTGCGGAATGCGAACGGCAGCTGAGTAAAGTAAACGCCGAAATAAAGGCGCTGACACCCGTTTTGGAGTTGAACAGAAGAGAAATGTAACGGACTGAAAAAGCTGTGGAAGGAATTGGAAGGTTCGAAAACGTTGTTTCCTGAAATCCGGTCCATTTTGGAATATCTCGATAGAGGTATACCAACCCTGAAGCATGTTGAATCAAATTCTGAGCCGCTAAATCTTGTGGAAGCACTTTCCAAACTAAATTCACTGTTGCCCCAAAAAGTATTTGTTTCCCAATCCAAATAGTGAGAATCTCAATGATGTTATGGAACAAATCGATGAACTAAATGCAAAATATTGAGTCGATCACAGACAAAACTTGTGAAGAAATCTGTAGATTGGAGGAAGAAGTGCAACAGGCCAAAGAAAATATGAGGAGATTATTCACTGAGAATTGATAATGCAAATGGACTGAAAGAATCAATTGAGATATAATGTGGTATAAATTCTCTAATTTAATGTTTTTCTATTATATATCTTTCAATAAAGTATTATGTATTTAAATTTTTCTTTTATTATTATTATTATTATTATTATTATCATTATCATCAAACCTTGATTTAAAAATAGATTTGAAGTGGCTAATAAATAGGTAATCTTTAGATTTTTTTTATCGAAGCACAAGCCTAAATGCCGGAATACCGCGGCTGCTATGATCCCAAAGAAATTTTGTTAATACGATTTTTGAACTGCCTCTGGACAAAGGAGCGGTCGTATCGGCCAGTTCTGGATGTACGAAGTTCGACACGGTTAGGATGGGTCGCCAAACTCAGGCGGGTCTGTCTGGCAGGCCCATCGCACGGCGGCATCATGGAAGAGAGCTCTGAGGAGCAAAGCCCGTTGGTGTAGCGATAGAAAAGAGCTAGATCGCCGACGGCCCGCTGGTACGAAAGAGTCCCGAGCCTGCCTGTTAGAGAAGAGTCATCGATCAGTCGGACCGCCCTCCTCAGGACAGCATCGAGCATGGATAATGTAGTCGGCAGCACCCCCAAACGTGTGAGCAATACTCGAGGCTAGGCCTTGTATAGAGTGAGAAGGTCTCTGCCCTGCAAAATTTTTGATAAACCCTTCTAGAGATGGGAAACTCCAATACTAAAATAAGTTACCGTATTTCTGCGACCTCTGGTGGATTGGTCTCACACCAGTGCTGAATAATGGGCCTTTCCATCTTAATAGGACAAACCTAATGGGGCTTTTTACATTCTGTTAATAATAAATCGTCTTACATAACAAAAACACTACAAATGGATTCATTTCCACTTTCTTAGTCATTAATACATGACGCACATTTCGACACACAGTGTCTTTCTCCAAATGCTGGGGTGAGTCGCGCGTCACGTATTAATGACTAATATAGCAGAAATTAAACCATTCGGAGTGTTTTTATTACGTAAAATGGATTTCCATCAAGTAAAGGCAACCACCGTAAAAAACTACAAAATATTAAACCTAAAATAAGTTGGAATGATATGATCAAAATTAAGTTGAATAAGGATATTGTCTATAAAATATAAATAACAATTTTACATTTGAAAGGAGCAAAATCTACATGGCATTTTTTTTTGAAGTGGTAGGTAAATGTAACGACTTTAGGTATATTTTGCTAAAATAGATGTCCTAACCAGTGTTCTAAATTTCTCATCATTTAGCGATTTTATGGCTTGTGGAAGATCTTTACAGGGGATGTGAAGGGAGGAATTAAAATTAAAGAAATAATTATAGTCATTTTATGGTCAATCATTCATATACAAATTATATCACCTTTTCTCAAAAAGCTAAATATAATAATAATAATGCCTTTAGAAATCCATCCACACTGCGAGGCGAAGTTTATCCAGCTGGCTACTCTACCACTTAAACTCACAGGGCAGAAATACATACAAAAAAAAGATATAACAATGAATAGCAATCGACTATCTAATATATACAATAATTAAGGCTTAAATAGAGTAATCTTAAGATGTTATACATCAATACTACTTGGCCCGCTCTAACAAAAAAAAAAAAAAAGAAATATACCAGCTAGCTTGGCTAGCAGACCCCAGAAGATGGTTCTTAACCCTTTCTTTCCCACTGATGCCAAATGGAGCCATGAAAATTGAATAATGTTCTCAGATGTAAGTATGAATAGAAATCTACAATACCGTGGTCCCTGATAACGTCGGTACTACATAGATGGCGCCTGGATGACCACATACCAATTTGAGCGGCCCATAGAATATTTTTGAGGTTAAATGTAACTTGAATCAACGTGTTCAATTCAGCAATATACAGTAGGATTCAAAGGTAAGCATTTGTTCATTTAATGATAATTATTTTTTTTATAGAACTAACAAGGCTTTTCAATGAGTTCCAATGATATAGAATTGTGTATTTACTTTTTTCACATATGAGAAGCCTTTGAAATGATGACGCCGTTTGGCGTCATTGGGAATAGGATACCCATTTACGTCACTTCCTTTTCTAGATGTCACGGGTAGGTCTTACTGAAGAAGAAGAGAAGCATTTGCTTCTTCTACTAGAAGGCGACTTATCTGATATCGAGATCAATGAGGAAGATGACAATGAGTACGAGGATCATATTAGAAGCCTTCCTTTGAGAGAATACGTATCTGATTGCATAGATACTGAAAACGTTCTGCTTCAAACTGATATGGGAAATATGTATATCATTAGAGATCGAAGAAAATGATGCCACT